AAGAGTTCATATTCTAAGCTAGGTTCAGTTACAGAGAAATTTTAAAAGTACTTTGATTTTCTATCAGATTTGTGACCATGTTGAAATATCAGATCCACTAAATACATGATCAGACTTGAGTATATATTAAGTGTTAGTTCTTCTTGGTTAAGGTGAAAACCTCCATCACCTGAATTGGTTTTCAAGAGCAAGTTCAGAAAAAAAGTTTTCTCTTTCAGATAATTCTTTCAAATGTCACAAAATTTAAAATAGGTACATCTATTAACATGGATATTTTAGAAAAGTAGGCTAAAAATTACTTTCTCAAATAGGGAACATTATCTTAAGCAGATTATACCTATTTTCTTTATATCTTACTTTAATTAAAAACATTTTTTCCAATTACAGTTTACATTCAATGTTAAGGTGCTTGGTATTTATCTACTTTTTTTTCCAGATTGTCCAATTTGTTGGCATATTTTCTTATAATTCTTTGTATTTCTGTGGTGTCAGTTGTTACTTCTCTCTCATTTCTTATTTTATTTATTTGGGTCTTCTCTCTCTTTTTCGTGATGAGTCTGGTTAAAGGTTTATAAATCTTATTTATATTTTCAAAGAACTAGCTCTGGTTCTTGGTTTCATTGACTTTTGTATTGTTTGTTAGATTCTATTTCATTTATTTCCACTCTGATCTTTATTATTTCTTCTCTTCTTCTCACTTTGGGCTTTGCTTGTTCTTTTTCTAGTCCCTTTAAGTGTAAAGTTAGGTTGTTTTATTTGCTTTTATTAAGTGGACTTGTCCATTTTGTTTTTCTGAGTGCTTACAGGGCAAGGACATTATAGTACTGGCACATTTCACGTTCTCAGGGCACATTTACTGAAGCAAGAGCTATGATGAAACATCCCACCACTGACCAGATTAGATATTAGGGAGGGATTCTAATAATAAGTGGCACACATCTTGCTGGAACTGGAAAAAGGCAACAAGAGGCAAGTTGTTCCAGCTGAACCCACGTGACTCAGGAAGCCTGGTGGTCAGCACTATAACTGCCTCTTGAGCAGAGAAAACAATGCTCAACATACCTCTCTTTGAGAGTCTCCAAGGCATGGGCTCTCCTGGGCCTAGAGGGACAAAAGAGCAGGACCTGCAGAATCCAGGGGCTTTTAAGAAGTATCTCAGAACCTTCCCCTTTGTTTTTCATGTCTGCTTTTCTCTGGGATGTCTAGTTTACTCACAAAGCCTTCTCATCAGTACCAAGGTGGTGATTCGTGGCCTTTTTCCAAAGGAAGTACAGAGACTAAGCCAGATTGCCTTGGCCCTGAATCAAGAATGAGTAGTCCAACTGCTGCTCAGTTACTTGCTGCTATACACACAGGCTTCGATCCCAAGGTACCAAGCCTCGCTGTGCTCAGAAGAATCTTCTAAAACAAATATAAGCATTTTCACTATTCTGACCTTGATGTCCTTTTGAGGATATCAAGGACTTGGCTCACATTATCCTGGGAAAACGAGACTCAATGCTTGGAAAGTAGCAGACGGCATGGACCCAACCACTGCTGTGCTGAAGAGATCTTCTACTTGCACACTCTTCTGCTGAGATCTTCTGTCCAACAAATTCATTGTATCTCTCAGAGTGTCAGAATATCTCCATGGTCTTATGAGTGTACTGCTTGCTACTAAAACATTCAAGGATGTCACTTTGGGTTCTCAGTGCATGACTTCCTAATCTCCCAAAAACTGGTTTGATTCCCAGTCAGGGCACATGCGGAGGGTGCAGGCTTGATCCCAAGTAGAGGGCATGCAGGAGTTAACAGATTGATGTTTCACTCTCATTAATGTTTCTATCTCTCTTTCCCTATCCCTTTCTCTCTCTCTAAAAAAAAATCAATAAAAATATATTTTAAAAAATCCATCTAATCTAATGTGTCATTTAAGGCCACCCTTTCCTTGTTGATTTTCTGTCTGGAAGATCTATCCATTGATGTCAATGGGGTGTTAAAATCCCCTACTACGATTGTATTACAGTCATTCTCTCTTTTTATGTCTATCAAGAATTGCTTTATATATTTAGGTGCTCCTATGTTGGAGGCATAAATGTTTACAAGGGTTATATCCTCTTGCTGGGTTACTCCCTTTATCATTATGCAGTGTCTTTTTTTTTTTTTGTATCTTACTATAGCCTGTGTTTTAAAGATTATTTTGTCAGATATAAATATTGCCAACCCAGCTTTTTTCTTCCTTTCCATGTGAATGAAATAATTTTTTTTCCATTCCTCTCTTTTACTCTGCATGTGTCTTTCTGAGGTGAGTCTCTTGTAGACAGCATATATAGAGTCGTTTTCATATCCATTCACCTCTTCTATGTCTTTTTATTGAAGCATTTAAGCTATTTATGTTTAAAGTGATTATTGATACATACATATTTATTCCACTTTATTCTCTATAACTATGATCCTATTTTTTTTAAATTTTTACTTCTTAAAGAAGACCCTTTAACATTTATTGTAATACTGGTTTGGTGGCAATGAGCTTCTTTAGCTTTTTCTTGTCTGGGAAGCTCTTTTAATGTTTTTGGTTCTAAATGATAGCATTGCTAGGTAGAGTAGTTTTAGCAGTAGCTCCTTCCTTTTCATCACTTTGAATATATTGTGCCAATCCCTTCTGACCTGAAATATTTCTGTTGAGAAATCAACTGACAGTCTAATGGGAGCTCCCTTGTAGTTAACTGTCTTTCTCTTGCTGCTTTTAAGATTCTCTCTTTGTCTTTTACTTTTGCATTTTTATTTATGATATGTCTTGGTGTGGGCCTCTTTGTGTTCATCTTTTTTAAGGCTCTCTGTGCTTTCTAAGCTTGTGTGTCTTTTAACCAGGTTAGGGAAATTTTCAGTTACTATTTCTTCAAATAGGTTCTCGATCCTTTGTTCTCTCTTTTCTCCTGGTATTCCTATGATGTGGATGTTGTTATGTTTCATGTTGTCCCAAAGGACACTTAACCTACCTTCACTTTTTAAAATTTGTTTTGTTGTTGTTGCTCTGATTGGGTGTTTCCTTCTACCTTATCTTCCAAATTACTGACTCAATCTTCTGCTCACCCAACCTACTGTTATTCCTTCTAGTGTATTTTTCATTTCAGATATTGTATTCTTCATTTCTGATTGGTTCTGTTTCATGGTTTCTATGTCCTTCTTATGTTTACTATCTCTTTAAGTTCTCATTGATTTCATCCATTCTTCTCCTAAGTTCTTTGCACATTCTTATAACCTTTAAACTCTATATCTGGTAAATTGCTTGCCTCCATTTATTTAGCTATTTTCCTTGAGATTTCTTCTATTCTTCTGTTTGGGGCATGTTTCTTTGTCTCCCCACTTTGGCTGCCTCTTCATGTTTGTTTCTATGTGTTAGATAGATCTGCTATTACTTCCAGTCTTCATAGGGAAGCTTCACAGGGTGGGGCCACAGGGAGTTTGGAGGGTGGGGCTGTTGCAACCCCTCATGCTGATGCTGTGTGGAGAGGAGTCTTTCACCCAAGAAAGATGGCATCTGTGGTGTGGGAGAGGGACTCAGAATAAGGACGCTAGTCATGGTCCCTTCCACACTCTCCCTGGAGACACAAACCCCAGTCTCTCCTCACAAAACTCTAGGCCTCTCTGCCCTCTCTCTTCTGGAGCCCAGGGTGAGTGACTACAAAAGAGATTTTGTGTGCTGTCCCTTTAAGAAAGTGCCTGACCTCTAGTAGGCTCTCAGCTGTCCCTGGTGGACAGAATCCCCACTGTTTTCACAGCCAGATATATCTGGGTGTTTCTTCCCAGCTCTGGTGCTCTGAGCTAGAGTGGCTGGCATGGGGTTGAGACCCTACACCAGTGATGGCGAACCTATGACACGCGTGTCAGAGGTGACACGCGAACTCATTTTTTTGGTTGATTTTTCTTTGTTAAATGGTATTTAAATATATAAAATAAATATCAAAAATATAAGTCTTTGTTTTACTATGGTTGCAAATATCAAAAAATTTCTATATGTGACACGGCACCAGAGTTAAGTTAGGGTTTTTCAAAATGCTGACACGCCGAGCTCAAAAGGTTCGCCATCACTGCCTACACTCTTCATGGGGAACCTTTGCCACTGAGCTATCCCTTCAAAATCTGTCACCACCCGTGGAAGCAGAGTGAGCCCTTTTCATGTTTCTGCCCTTCCTACCAGTCTCAATGTGGCTTCTATATATCCTTGGTATCATTTTAATGATGTTGCCTTGAAATAATTAAATCCTAAAGCAAATATATGAAAATCATATATTCAGTAAAGTACAGTATAGGGAGTATCCTATATAATAAAAGCCTAATATGCAAATCGACCGAATGGCAGAACGAGGGGTGGAACAACTGGCCACTATGATACACACTGACCACCAGGAGGGGAGACACTCAACACAGGAGTTGCCCCCAGCCTGCAGGCCCCAGGCCAGCCAAGGCAGGTACCAGCGGGGCCCCCTGGATCACCCTGCTGGTGGCCCCGCAGAGGGAGATGACTAGCGGTGGTGGTGGGGGGGTGGGGCCAGCTGACGAGCAGGCAGCAGCAGGGGGCGGGGCCAGCTGGCAAGTGGGCTGGCATCACCCCCCCAATTGCCTTGCTGGTTGCCTTCTGCAGAGGGAGGCAACCAGCAGCGGCAGAGGGGTGGTTGGGGGGGTGAGGCTGGCAAACAGGCAGCGCCAGGCCCACCAAGGCAGGTGCCAGCAGGGGTCTCCTGATCGCCCCGCCGGTTGCCCACAGATCAGCCCTCATCGCTGGCCAGATGTAGGGACCCTACCCGTGCATGAATTTCAACCACCAGGCCTCTAGTAGTCAATAATCTTGAGATAACTATGTATGGTTCCAGGATACTGAAAATATAGAGAGGGGAACACTTTGTAAAGTATATGATTATTTAATCACTATGCTATACACCTGAAACTATTATAAAATAACACAGACTGTAAACTCTAATTGAAAAATAAAATTTCTTAAAACAATAAAAACCATGTACTTAATAATTAATATTTTATTTTTGTTCCTAAAAATTTTACTCAATAGGACCATGAGAAGGAGCACTTTTATCTTACAAGGGACAAATTAAATTTTGATTTTTGCCATGAACATAGTATTTGCATTTCAATAAAAATAAAAAATAAAAACATTTGTCTATAATGGTTAACATTTTTAAAGAGCTTATAAGTTTACTTTACACAATGTTATTTTAGTCATAGAATAGTAATAAATAATTTATAGACAGAAGCATGAACAAAAAAAATTATGCTTTGCAACACTCTAAAAATACATTATTTGATAACAAAGAAAAATGATTGCCAGGTTCTGAATGAAGAAGAAAAACTAAGAAACATACCTGAGGCACTGAACATATAATATTATTGTAAATGTTAATATTTATGGACTGCTGTAAAGGCAGTAGTAAAAAAACAAGTTTTAATAAAGTTTGAAACAGACAACTGTTTAAATATCTTAACAATTTAAATCATTGTAAATTCAAGAGTTTCTTTTCTTCTAAATTTTTACTTCAAATAATAGTGAAGGCAACAATTTATAAACAGGCATTCATGAGTACAATACATCTTATACATGAAAAATGTTCATGGAGTCATCTACTATTCTTCTGTAAGCATTCCTATTGTCTTTCTACTGCTATCAATTGTAGGGGTGGAAGGACTAATTAAAAAAAGATAAATATATCTGCCATTAGGACAGACCTCTGACAGTGGAAGCTATATATAAATATAGAATCACTGTGTTGCACACCTGAAACAAATATATTGTATGTCAACTATACTTCAATAAAAATTAATTAATTAGAAACAAGAATTTGAATGATTTCTCAACATTCTTGCCTGTAATTTTTGTGGCAATACTCTGTGCTCTACATTGTCCTAAGGCCATGTTAATCTTTCATTGCAATGCATTTTCTTAGTTCAGCTGCAGTTTTTTCTAGTTGTTGAATGTTCCACTGCCATTGCTTTCTATTTGACTGAAGCTTGTTCAGCTGACAATGCAAACGCTTAAGAATTGCACCATATCTCTTATTTTGTACCTATGAAAAGAAGAAAACACATCAACAGGGCTTTACTTGACACTTATTATATGTTAGATAGTGTGCTGAGAGCCTTTTACAAATAATTAAATTCTCATTACACCTTATGATGTGCATATTATGATACCCATTTTTGTAAAAGGAAACAAAAGATAAAGAGATTAAGTGATTTGACCAATGTTTCAGAATAAGCAAGTGATGATGTTTGAGATTTGAATCCAAGTAAAACATCTGTGATGAAGTGCTTTCTACTTATTAAGCAGTTACCAGTTAAGAGTAAATTTTTTTCTGTATCTAGTTGTTCACTGAAACAGATTAATTGATCTAAAAGTTCTATATAATGTCCAATTCCTTGTCAGTAAGTAGATCATTGTGTATGTTGAGCCAGACAATGCGACACTGGAAGGCAATGAAGCATGGTGAAAGTATAAGGGTTTTGGTGCCCAGGCACAAGAAAGCAAAAACGTCATCATAATTCCTGAGATTAGTGTTGGCTCTACAAATAACTTTTTTTAAACAGTTTTGTTGACATACCATACAATCCACCCTTTAAACTGTACCATTTAATGGATTTTAGTATATTCACAGGGTTGTGCAGCTATCACCACAATCAATTTTAGAACATTTTCATTAGCCCAAAATGAAATCTGGTACCCATTAATAGTGACTCCCCATTTCCCCATCCCACCCTTAGCACTAGGCAACTACTAATCTACTTTCTCTTTATATAGATTTGCCTATTCTGGACATTTTATAAAGTGGAATCATATAATATGTGGTCTTTTGTGACTGGCTTCTCTCACTTAGCATAATGTTTTTAGGGCCATCCATGTTTTAGCGTACATCAGTACTCCATTCCCTTTTATTGCCAAATAATATTGCATAATATACTACCTCTTACTTACCCATTTTATCAGTTAATGAGTATTTCACTTGTGGCCACTTTTTGTTTATTATGAATAATGCTGCTATGAACATTCATGTACAAGTTTTTGTGTGGTCATGTTTTCATTTCTCTGGGGTTTATACCTAGGAGTGAAATTACTGGGTCATATGGTAACTCTATATTTAACCATTTGAGGAACTGACAGACTGTTTTCCATTTTTACATTCCCATGATCAATATGTGAAGGTTTGAATTTCTTCACATCCTTGAAAATACTTATCTGTCTTTTTTATCATAGCCATTTAGTGGGTGTGAAGTGGTATTTCATTGTAGTAAAACACCCACTTTTATTATTTTTTTAAATTTGTCTTTATTGTCTAAAGTATTACAGATACCCCCCTTTCCTTCATTAAACTCCTCTACCCTTCTCCTGCCCCACCACCCAGGCCTTCACTACACTATTGTCTGTGTCCATGGGTTATGCATATATGCATATATGTTCAAACCAGTTGATAGAATAATGGTGCTGAGAACTTTTCTCTTCATTCTTACATCTATTAGAGAATGCTCTAGAAGTCTGGTGGGTGGTTCTAAGTCAACTTAAATAGAGGTCAATTTGTCAAAACACCAATTCACCACATTAATCAAAATAACCTGTCAAAAGTAAATTTATAGCCTGGGAGACAAGACTCTGAATTTCTGTCCCTGACCTGACTCCCTTTTCTCTCTCTCAGCTGTTATTGGGGCCCAGATTGTACTACATGCTGAATCTTATCAATTTCTTCCCCAGGCAAACTTCCCCTCTTTCTTTCCCAGCTCCTCCCTAGTGCAGGGATTTTTTTTTTTTTACATTTATTTTGCCATGGATCATTTTTACAGTATGGTGAAGACTACAGACTCCTCAGAATAATGCTTTTAAATGCATAAAACAAAACATACAGGATTACAAAGGAAAGCAATTGTATTGAGGCACGGTTCTGCAGCAAGCAGGGGAACTGGGACAGAGACACTCAAAGCGTTCCAAAATATTGTTATAAAAGCAAAGTGAAAACTTGTAACTAACACTTCACATAAATTGCTATAAACTTAATGCAACTTTTAAGTTTTCAATTTTTGGTAATTTTTCAAATTCAGATAATTTACTCAAATTGGTGAATTAGGTCTGGGGGTATGTTGGCAAATAGAAAATGACTTTAAAAGGATTAGAAATAAATATGGAATAAACTGAAATACTATATTAAATAATGAAGCTATATTTGAAATGTTTTTATACACTGAATATATTCAAGAGGATATATATCCATTGATATGTATGTATATATAGATATATATAATTGGAAAAATTTTTGGTTAATCAATAAGTGTGTTTGGTTGCATATGAGCCTCTTCTGAAATTCTTCAATGGTTAAGGTACAAAATGAATACACAACAGATCATAATAGAGATGTGCAAATTCCCTTAGTGTGACTCTAGAGCACCAGCCACAGTGAATGCTACATATCTTATTTACATATCTTTTTTATGTCTGTCTCTCCAACTAAAACACAAGTTCTCTGAGAACAGGGATTTTTATCAATTTATTTTGTTCGATACTCTATTGCAGGGGTCCTCAAACTTTTTAAACAGGGGGCCAGTTCACTGTCCCTCAGACCGTTGGAGGGCCGGACTATAGTTTAAAAAAAAACTATGAACAAATTCCTATGCACACTGCACATATCGTATTTTGAAGTAAAAAAACAAAACGGGAACAAATACAATATTTGTATTTGCATGTGGTCCGCGGGCCGTAGTTTGAGGACCCCTGCTCTATTGTAAGCACTTAAAAGAGTAATTGGCACATAGTATGAACTCAATAAATATGTTGAATGAATTGATGAGTGAATACATAAATAAAATGAGACAGTTTTGTAAATCAAAGTGCTATCCTATTTTGAGAAGAACATTGTGTGAAATATATTGCTAAATTCTGTATTGTTCACAATTTCTCCATATATGTAACAAACACACAATGTCATTGTTTTAACATGGAGAATATACTACACTAAAAGACTTGGTGCTCACTTGCTGTCATCTGTATGTGACACAACTTCTATTTGCTTCCACTATTTAAAGAGTATGATTAAATATTTTTTATTATAGTATAAATATACAGACTTTTTTTATCCTCATCCAAGAATATGTTTTTGTAGAGAGAGGAAAGGGGAGAGAGAAACAATGATGTGAGAGAGAAACATTGATCCATTGCCTCTGAAGGCTCCCAAGCTGGGGATTGAATCCACAACCAAGGTATGTGCCTTACCGGGAATCAAACCTGCAACATTTTGGGATGATGCTCTAACCAACTGAGCCACCAGGCCATGGTAACTCAGATGCTTATTAATTGTATCAAATTAGTCACAAACAAGTTAAAGATATGTATCTTTTTATTTTACAAATTAATACCTTAAAAGTGAAAATTATTTATTTGAGCTTAACAACATATTCTTCTCCATTTTAATTTTCATTCATCTAAACAATAGTGACTACAGAAGTCTACCAGTGGTATCCCAAACTTGGTCTCACTTTTAATTTTGTATATCAGTTTTTTAAATTAGACTCAATAATTGCAAATATGAAGTCAGAGGGGTTTGTAGTACTGACTTCCATTGTTTTTTCCTCTATTTTGAGGAGTCACTGATGTATATCTAGGAAAGGTCATCTTTTCTGACTCAATAGCCTGTTTTCTAGCCATTAATTGGGTGCCAGGTTGTTGATGGAATTAGATTTGGAATAATTTTAGGACAGATTGAAATAGGAGTGAGTGCTTGCTTTGTCTAAATAGATTCATATTTCAATACCTTTGAATGAGGGAGTTATCTCTAATTATCTATTAACTAGGGGCCCGGTGCACGAAAATCGTGCATGGGTAGGGTCCCTAGGCCTGGCCTGCAATCAGGGCCAATCTTCCCCAATTTCCGGCAGCCGGCCCTGCCCCCCACCACTGACACTGGTTGCCCTCTGCATGTAGGGCGACTGGTTGGGCAATCAGGGCCCTGCTTGCTCACACCTGCCTTGGCCTGGTGCCGCCCATGTCTGCTGCCACCCACCCCTGGCTCCCCATTCTCCATTGGGTGATCGGAGCCTGCTGGCCAGGGAGAAGGACCAGGAGGTTGGCCAGCAGGTCCCAATCGGGTGATTGAGGCCTGCAGGCGGGGGACAGCTCCTGCTTTGAGCATCTGCCCCCTGGTGGTCAGTGCACATCATAGCGAGTGGTTGAGCGGCCTTAGCATATCATTGGCATATTATGCTTTGATTGGTTGAATGGACGACCGGATGACCGAACACTTAGCATATTAGGCTTTTATTATATAGGACTAGAGGCCCGGTGCACAAAAATTTGTGCACTCGGGGGGAAGGGGGGGGTCCCTCAGCCCGGCCTGTACCCTCTCGCAGTCTGGGACCCCTCAGGAGATAATGACTTGCTGGCTTAGGCCTGCTCCCGGGTGGCAGAGGGCAGGCCCAATCCCTAGGTGCAGCCCCTGGTCGGGCTCAGAGCAGGGCCGATTGGGGAGTTGGGGCGCTGCCCCCTGTCATGCACAGAGCAGGGTGGATCGGGAGGCTGCGATGCCACCCTCAGTCACGCACAGAGCGGGGCCCATCAGGGGAGTTGGGGCTCCGTACCCTGTCACGCACAGAGCAGGGCCAATCAGGGGGTTTGGGGCTGCCCCCTGTCCTCGCACAGAGCAGGGCCCATCAGGGGGTTGGGGAGCTCCCCCCCTGTCATGCACAGAGCAGGGCCAATAGGGGCAATATAGGGCACCGCCCCCTGTCACACACAGAGCAGGGCAATCAGGGGGTTGGGGCGCCACCACTGTCACACTCAGGGCAGGGCCAATGGGGAGGTTATGGCTCTACCCCATCACACACAGAGCAGGGCCCGTGGGGGGGGCGGTTGGGGCGCCGCCCTCTATCACCCACAGAGCAGGGCCGATCAAGGGGTTGGGGCACTGCCACTGTCACACTCAGGGCAGGGCTGATGGGGAGGTTATGGATCTACCTTGTCACACACAGAGCAGGGCCTGTGGGGGGGGGGGGGGTTGGGGCGCCGCACCCTGTCACACATAGAGCAGGGCCGATCAGGGGGTTGGGACGCCGCACCCTGTCACACACAGAGTCGCAGGGCGATCAGGGGGTTTGGGCGCGGCCCCCTGTCACGCTGATCCGGTGCCTTGAGGCTCCGCTGATCCCGGTGCTGGGAGGCATATTACCCTTTTACTATATAGGATAGAGGCCTGGGGGCCAGCTGGTTTGCCCTGAAGGGTGTCCTGGATCAGGGTGGGGGTCCCCACTGGGGTGCCTGGCCAGCCTGGATGAGGGGATGATGGCTGTTTGCAGCTGGTCACACACCCTTCAGGGTGGGGGTCCCCACTGGGGTGCCTGGCCAGTCTGGTGAGGGGCTGAGGGCTGCTTTCAGGCTGGCGATTGTTGACTGAAGCTCCCAACCCCTCCTTTTTTTTCTCTTTTTTTAATTTTATTCTGGGCCAGCTTTAGCTCTGGCTCTAGCTTTGAGGCTTCCGCTGGTTTGTTTGTGTTCTATAATCGAAACAATGTATAACTCCAGCTCTGAGATCCTGGGGTTTTGTTACAAAGTTTCAAACTGCCAGCTCAGAGGCTGGCAGTGCAGGCGGGGAACGTTGGAGTCCTCCTTCACTGCAGCAAGCAAGCCTCATGTTCGCTTCCAGCTGCCTGGCTGCCGGCCGCCATCTTGGCTGACAGTTAATTTGCATAACCTCACTGATTAGCCAATAAAAGGGTAGCGGTCGTACGCTAATTACCATGTTTCTCTTTTATTAGTGTAGATGTGTTGGACTTTTCTAACGCTTTATGTAGTTCTTTATTGTTCTTTAGCTATTTGGGGATTGAGAATAAAATGTGGAAAGTATGAAAATAATGTAAGTTTAAGAAAAGATTCCATAAAACATTGAAATCCAGGTGATCAAGACTTACCTCTATTTCTTTTCTTAATTTTTCATGTGTCTTATTTTCTTCCTCAAGAAAACAAGTTTTTTCAATGATAGATTCTTTTGTAGTTGTGATTTTATCCTTTAGCTTTGTAATGTCTTCCTGTATGTTTATAAAATTTAATATATACAAGTCAAACCGTGAATGATCAATATAAAGCCAAGATTTTCAGTGTTTCTATAATTTAATAAAACTAGCCATAATAATTCTTCTTGATAAATAGAATTAGAATATTACCTTCTATAGGAACAAATAATAAAAACAAAACTACAATACAAACAAATAAACAAAAATTATGTTTGAGCATTTAGAAAATCCAAATGGAATAACATGTAAAGGATAGTGGTAATTATAGTGGCAATTGTCCGGCAACGGTGTAAAGGATACTTGTAAGTCTCTAGCAAGACATAATAGATATTTTAAGTTTGTCTCTCCCACTGTCTTCAAAGAATAGTAAAAGAAATAGAAAAATGTGTAAGCTGCAATTATTAATTCATATTATTTGCAAAACAGCATTAAGCATACTAAATTGTCTTGGATTGGTCTGGATCCATTAGCTTAGAAGCTAGGGCTTCAACATTTTTGTGAGTTACACTTTCTGCAACAAATGTATTAATTGTTCACTGTGATTTTGTTTTACCATGCATTTGTATTAGTCCACATGGAATTTGGGGATGTTTGCTTTATGCATTTGCACATGTGGCATCATTGTTACATAACTCATGTGCTTATCCAAGTTTTTTAAAGTTGTGAAAATAGTTTCTGAATTTCATTAGGGCAGCCATGGGTACTTGATTAAGTTAATGATAAATTTATCACTTAATAAGTGTACATGAAAAAAGAGAATAGCTCAGCCTGAGTGGTTCAGTTGGTTGAACATCATCCTGTGCAGAGAAAAGTTGCCGGTTCAAATCCCACTCAGGGCACATATCTCGGTTGCAGGTTCAATTTCTGGTTGGGGCATGTAGGAAGGCAGGAAGGCAATTGCTCGCTCTCTCTCTCTCTCTCTCTCTCTCTCTCCCCCCACTCCCTGAGCATGTCCTCAGGTGAGGATCAGGTGAGGATTTAAAAAAGAAGAAAAAAAGAATAGAAAAAGTTTTAATAAGTGATATTTCAAACCTGTACTTGTTTCATCGGATTCTGGAGATCTTGCCTAAGTTCCTCTTTCATTATCTTCAGTTTTTTAACAAGATCTTGTTTTTCACGTAGTTCAATCATAAATGGCCATTTGCTTTCTTCCTCCCCCGAGCTATCTTTATGCACTTTAATTTTTGCATAGTATTCATTATATTTTATCACGTGTTCCTTGAAATCTTCTTGGGCTGCTTCTATATCAAATTTAAGCTTTACATTTTCTGTATGTAAGGATTTGATTTGTGTTTCCAGGTTTTCACACTGAAGTTTGCTATTCTCTATGGCAACATCTTGCTGATAAATTAGCTTTTCTGTTTCTTTAGTTTCTGCAGAAACAGTTGCTATTTGTTTTTCTAGCTCATGAAGTTCATTCTGTAAAATATTTCAACATTATTATTATTAATTCATTATACTCAACATGAGAGGAAAGTCATTTTTCTATCCATAGTGCATGTAGGAAATCAAAACATAAACACATTTATCAGATATAGAAAAATTGATGTATAATGGAAGGAAACATTCAATAACATAACAAAATTATAACCTCAGTGGAAGCCCAATTATATATCTATTTTTAATATTCATATAATTCTAAATGTTAAAATTTTATCACTTGTCTTAACATTTTATATGTAAACGATATTTTACAAACACTTTAATAATATATTTACATCAGAAGTACACACTAAAGCAGCAGTTCTCAACCTGTGGGTCGCGACCCCTTTGGCGGTCGAACGACCCTTTCACAGGGGTCGCCTAAGATCATCCTGCATATCAGATATTTACATTATGATTCATAACAGTAGCAACATTACAGTTATGAAGTAGCAACGAAAATAATTTTATGATTGGGTCACAACATGAAGAACTGTATTTAAAGGGCCAGAAGGTTGAGAACCACTGCACTAAAGAAAGACAACATGATAAAAATGATAACACCTTGGGTTAAAAAAAAATCAAAAGGCCTAGGTTCTAGTTCCCTTACTGTTATTTACTAATTGGTATGATCATACGTGGCAAACTTAATTAACCTATCCAAACCTACTCATTTGTAAAATGAGTATAAAGATGTCTACTTTACCTCTCTTGGCATTTGGCAATTCTAACAATATTATTGGCTATATTCCCTATGCTGTACTTTACATCCCGTGACTATTTATAACTACCAATCTGTACTTCTCATTCCCTTCACCTTTTCCACCCAGTCCCCCAACGCCTCTCCCCTTTGGCAACTACCAGTTGGTTCTCTGCATCTATGAGTGTTTCCTGTTTTCACATCACCACTCTTCTCTGGTTCTCCCAGATACTGCTAAGCATTCCTTCTCAGTCACAATGGTTCCTTCTATAAAGCAGGTCTTTCTTAGGGTGCCATCATCAGAATTTTCTCCTTTCATTCTATAATAATTCCTTGGGTAATCTTATCCATACTTATATGTTGACTATGTCTATGCTGATAATTCACAGAACTTAAGTGGCTGTTGAGTCCTACATCCAGTGGCCACTAGCCATCTCAAATGCAACATGTCAAAAAATCAGACTAATCCTTGCCTCTATTCCATCCTGTTCTTCCTTGTATAAATTATGTGGCGTCAGAATGGTAAAACCTCAGTGACTTACAAAATACGTGTTTATTGCTCACATGACTGGGAGCAGTGGAAGTTGGCTAGATGTCGACGTTGGTTGGATTTGCTTAAATGTCTGAGGGTTGGCTGGCTGTTACAGGATTTAGTTTGGCCAGCTGGGGTGTCCTGCCTTCGCATAACATGTATTTTATCTTCCAGTGGGCCACGCCAACCATGTCCTTCTCATGATGACAGCAGATGCAGAAGAATGGAAGCCCAATTACGGAAGAGCTTTTTCAAGCTTCTCTTCAAATAACATCTGCTCACACCCCAGCTCGTCACATGATGAAACTCACCGTCAAGGAGCAGATATATGCGCACCACTATGGCAGGCCATTATAATGACACATGGCAAACGGTCTAATATACACAAGAATGAAGAATTGGGACCAAAATGCAAATTACCACACCCCTATTTTTACAAATTAACTAATGGTACTACTTTGGGAGCCACCTTATGTCCTTCCTTCTCTTTATTATCTAACTGCCCCCAAAACAACTCTGCAAGCCGTCCTCCTTTTTTTCTATCTGGTAATGATTATATTCTTTGAACACATAATTTTAAGAGGGAGTCACTGTACAAAAAAAGGCAGACCCAATCTACCCTTTTCCTGGCAGAGACAGAGAGGGAAGTACACTGAAAAATGCAACATGCTGATGAATTTCTATCTTTATCTCCAGTTGACATTTCTATTTCTTTATCTAATAAACATATCAACTATACATGTTCAGAAAAGAAAATTCCATTTACATACTCAACATGTTCCCCTTCATCTTCTTAATTTCAATAAGCTGTACCACTTTCCACCTGAATACTCAACAATCTAGAAGTCTTTTCTTAGTTTTCCCCTTTACCCTTCCCCCAACACCTATTTGAATTTGGTCTCCAAAATAAAATCCCAGATTCACTTCTGAGATATTTTTTTAGCACAGCCTAGCTTCTACTGGACTTCCTGTTTCCATTATTCCCCCTGTACCTCAACCAGGCTCCATATATTAGACAGAATAATCTTTTAAAAAACATAAATCACATCATTCTACTGTATTCCTTTTCTTTCTTTCTTTCTTTCTTTCTTTCTTTCTTTCTTTCTTTCTTTCTTTCTTTCTTTCTTTCTTTTTGCTTTCTTTCTTTCTTTATTTTTGCTTTCTCTCTTTGGAATTTATTGGTGAGAAGAGTCAAAAAGTATAAAAATAAAAGGTAGCAATCAATAAAAGTTATTAAGAGTAAGCTCAGCAAGAGAGAAATGATAAACCATTCCACTGTCTGATGCCTCTGGCTCCTGAACAGAGAAAGCTCACATCTTTTGTGGTGTTGGTACCCTTTCCTCTGTCCTCAGAAAAAAAGAGTAAGGCAAAAGGTGGTTCTTTCCTATTTCAAATGAGTTGGAGATACAGGACGAGGCTGACTGTAACCTTAAATTCTTTCTAAATTTAAAACCTTTTTGCTATTTGATACAGACACTGAGTTGAGCTGGGCCATGCTTGCTGTCAATGTCAAGTGTTGGAATTAGCACCACAAATCCATCAGGACTGAGTGTTGGCACCAGGCTTTGTCCATCATCAACTTGAATATGAGAAAAGGCAAGCAGAAGAAATAGCAGCTGTGAAAAGTGAAGGAAAGTACAGGAGGTAGCAAAGCCTGGGGAAAAGAATGGTAGTAAGAGATATGAGGTAGAAAGCTAGTTCTTAGCTTCACCAAGGGCTGGCTGAAAAGACCTAGGGTTAGAAACTCCCTGGGTGGCAGGTACATCAGCCACTTGAGATTGGAAGATGCCCCAGGAAATGATCTGGCATATTCCCTGCCTGCTTATTTTTTAGCTCAAATTCTAACAATGTTGGAAATATTTGGAGATCTCTCTCTTTCTCCCTGCCTCCCTCCCTCTCTTATCTAGAGATTATAGAAAAGGATGAATAAAGATGGAAGAAATTTAAAAAAACACACACACACAACACCACCAGATTAGGACTGGCTGGCATGGCTCAGTGTTTGAGCGTCAACCTATGAACCAGGAGGTCAGGGTTCTATTCCCGGTCAGAGCACATGCCTGCATTATGGGCTCGATCTCCAGTGTGGGGCGTGTAGGAAGCAGCAGATCAATGATTCTCTTTCTTCATTGGTGTCACTATCTCTCCCTCTCCCTTCATCTCTGAAATCAATAAAAAATATATTTTTAAAAAAGCCGATTATGAGAAAAGCCCTCATTACACATGGGTAGAATTCACCCACAAGTCAAAGAACTTTGAAAAGTACAAGGGAAGGAAGGCAGAGGGCACTACTTCTGCAAAGAGACAAAATGACAAAGCTAGCTTAGTGCTGGCTTAATAACACTGTCTCCTACCACTTGAGATTTTGTCTTTATTTAAAGAGAGACAGAGGGAAGAGTTCAGAGAGCCAGTGTCACAGATTAAGATGTTTGAAAGAGAAGCTGGGCCTTTCTTTCACTATTAGTTTCCTTCATCAGAAAATATAGTGGACCTATAGGAAACTGCAATAGGTTCATCCAATGACTCCCCCATGTACTTCACCTGTGCCCTTGCCAGATCTGGATTTCCTATTTGATAAGAAAGGCTCCTGAACTCCCATTCTTTTCTTTGCTAACAGGACTAAATAATCTCCTACATTTAGAAGACAAAAGGCTTATTTATAATATGCTTAGTCTTAGGATCTCCAAATCAGGGTTAGAAAAGGAACTATTCTTTCATAATCCAACATGTCCACACCTCACATGTCCTTATCAACATTATGGGTTCAGTTTTCACACTTTCAGGAAGAAAATCTGCTCCCTAGCAGTCTTTAAACTACCTGACAAACATTATACACCCTCAGCCCAAGCCCCTCAATTCCATTAACATTCCAGCAAAAAAATATATATATATCCACTTATCACAATCCAATCCCACTTGAGCATCTATAGCCGCTATCTTGATACAATCATGTTCCAAAAGCTGAGTGTCCGACAGCAACAAAGGTCCATTAGTATAAACATGTGGAGTCAATAATACTGAAGTTTGGTTTCTATGCATTTTTTGTCAATTTGGCTGGGAAGATCTAGACAGCTGGAAATGAGCTTCTCCATCATTTCCTGTTTCCTTCTTTGTATCAATTTTCTGCCTGTGAAGCCCAACACCCCACCGTCAAGGGCAGCTGTAATTCCTGCCACTTTGCAAGGAGGCCAATAGGACCCCCCCTACCCACCCCACCCCCCCACCGCTCCTCTGAGGAATGTACCTGCCACAGGCAGAATTGCCAGGTTGTATTTTTCAGCCTTCCCCAAGTTTCTGGTTCCCTCTTGAACATTCACAGAAGCACTGTTGACATGGTCTTCAATACTGTCAATCTTCTCCTGCTGAGAATTCACTAGGAGAGATAATTCTGTGACCAGTTGGCTAAGTTCAATTAGGTTCGCTTCTAGGTTTCCCATGATTCTGCAGCATATTGATCTTGAGGGATTTCAGGCAATGCATATATCTGAGTCATACTTTGAGGATCAGCTTCAGTTTCAGTAGTGTGAAATGCTCCACCAACAGTCATAGACCGAGTCAAAGAAGGCTGTAATGAAGTTTCTTCATCATTAAATTGTTTCTCAAGTTCTTCTACAGATTCCTGATGGAGCTGGAGAAATTCCACTGCTGCCTGCTGCTACTGCTTCTTTAACCAGGATCTATCACTCTCCTCAGAAGTACTAGGTCATCTTTCTGGACTTTCCAACAAAGCTTCTCCATATTGGAGTGGAGTTACTGAACTGCACA